GCCAATTGAAATACAAAACAGTCACTGGTTTATGTTAAATGTAAAAATCAATCTTTTCGAATTGTATCATTTAATTTACAGAACTCATTATTAAATCTAAGTGTGTACACTCAATCTATCCAACAAAATAAAAACAAGAAGTCATCTTTTACATTTCGATGGAACTCTTTCTCTTCAAGAGAAACCACGATCAAATTTAATCGATGATTGCTATTTATTTACAATAACAACGATAAAAATACGATTGATTTCTTTTTCTGTATTATACAACAGACTGATATTTTTCTAGTAGTTACTGAATTATCATATCAAAAAATTTCATACTAATAACAGGAACAAATGTCAGAGAAAAAAACACAAAAACCCATAGAAACGAAAATATATAGCGAACAGTCCGATATTTTCTCACAATTCACCATAATATGCACTTGATTGTGATCGAGTGTTATTTGAATTCTGTCCTTCAAATCTGCTCATAATCCGCATGACAATTACTTCAAGTTGGTTTTTGCGCTTTCTATATTCGTCAATTTTGGCAGCAGGATTGGCATCAAGCCATTTGATTTGGTCTTCAACAGCATCTGCAATTGTTGTCTTTTCTTTCGACGATAACTCCTCGAAGAGTGACTTCTCATCTCTCAATTGAGTTCTCAATGTATAAGTATACCTAGAAAGAAAACATCACAATATATTCATTTTATTTTTAATTATTTGAACAGATTATTTACGATTCGAGTTCATTCTTAGCATTTATTCGTTCTTTAACTACTTTATCTTCATCTGCAAAGATTTCAGCAACTCTAATCATTCGATTAATCTGTTCGGTTGATAATCGATTTGTTTTGGAATTGATCACAATATTTTTTTTGTTGCCTTTAGTTTTTTCTTCAGCAGTGACCTAAAACAAAAACAGCGAATATTTTTTCATATCATCTATATTCAACACTCACATTAAGGATTCCATTGACATCAATATCAAAAGTTACATCAATTTGTGGAACACCTCGTGGTGCAAATGGAATACCAGTGAGATCGAATTCACCCAAAAAATGATTATCTTTCGTCATTGGACGTTCACCTTCGAAGATTCGAATAGTCACTACACTTTGATCATCTTCAGCGGTTGTAAAAGGTTTATTTTCCACTATTGGAATATGACTATTACGCGGAATAATATTTGACATCGCTCCACCTTTGACTTCAATACCCATTGTTAATGGATTGACATCGATGACGACAATATCACTATCGACGCATTCGTCGCCCGAGAGTATAGCTCCTTGTATAGCTGCACCGTAAGCTATATAAAAATATCAGAGATTGAAGAAATAATTTTTCTTCCTTTACACTTGTCTCTTACTTACCCACAGCTTCATCTGGATTGATACCACGCGATGGTTCTTTTCCATTGAAAAATTCTTTGAGAATTTGTCGTATTTTTGGTATTCGAGTTGAACCACCGACGAGTAAAACATCGGCAATATCAGATTTTTTCAATTTGGCATCTTCCAGGACATTCTCTACTGGTATCAATGTCGAGCGAAATAGATCAATATTGAGTTCTTCAAATTTTGCACGTGTCAATATTTCACTAAAATCTTCATTAGTGGAAACAAATGATTCTATTTCAAGTCTTGTTTGCTGTTCAAATGACAATATTCTTTTTGCTTTTTCAACTTCACGACGAAGTTTTTCTACAGCACGAATATTTTTTCCCATATCTATGCCTTTTTTCGTTTTAACCACTTTAATAAAATGTTCCATGACACGTTGATCAAAATCTTCACCGCCTATAATATGAACGAGCTGTGAATATTTTTTTAGAGAAGAAAAAACAAAAGCATTTACCCAAATGTGTGTCACCATTGGTAGCGAGTACTTCGAATACACCATTGTCAAATGTCAAAAGTGATACATCAAATGTTCCACCACCTAAATCGAAAACAAGAATATTCTTTGCACCTTCCCATTTCTTCATTTTGTCTAATCCATATGCAATGGCTGCTGCTGTTGGTTCATTGATAATTCGTATGACATTCAAACCAGAGATAGTGCCAGCATCTTTGGTTGCCTGTCGTTGTGCATCATTGAAATAGGCAGGTACAGTGACAACAGCATTTGTCACTTTCTTACCAAGATATCCTTCCTATAATAATTGACAGATGATTGTCTACGTGTTCTTTGTGACAATGACAGAAAACAGAAAACTTACAGCGATATCACGCATTTTACCAAGTATCATTGCAGAAATTTCTTCAGGTGTAAACAATTTTTCACCATAACCAATATTGACTTTCACAATTGGTTTGCCCTTATCTCCAATGACAGAAAATGGAAAATGTTTGATATCTTGTTGTACAGATGAATCATTAAATTTACGACCAATAATTCGTTTTACATGAAATATTGTATCTAAACAAAAAACATACAAAGAAAAATAAATGCAATAAAGAAAACGTACTTTCAGGATTTGATGTGAGTAGATTTTTGGCAGCATCGCCAATTAATCGTACACCATCGGGTGTAAAAGCAACATAGGATGGTGTAATTCGATTGCCTTGATCATTTTCAATTATTTCAACATGACAATTTTTAAAAACAGCTACACATGAGTAAGTGGTTCCAAGGTCGATACCGATCACTGTACCCAAATCTTTTTTGACTTGATTTGCACCAGTACAGAGAGAAATACTAATGGTAAGCAAAAGATGAATTATCATCATTGTATTCATCTCTTTTTTTTGCAAGTAGTTTACACGTGTCTGCTCACCCTTTTTTTTTCTTTTGCTTGCAATTTATACGTACGTGAGATTTTTATATATCAGAATGAAGTTGGTTTTTTCCAATAAAATTTTTTCTGTATTACGTAGGAATGGTAAAATTTCTTGAGAGTGAAAGGAAGGTTGTCATGTAAATAGTCACATGTTGTTCTTTTTATAGCACGATGAATAATGATGAGGAGATGAGTAACATATTCAGGTAAGGAAGAAAACATTTTACGTTTTTATCGGTTGCTTACATTGCGTTATACACTCTAAAGAATATGTGCTGCACGGTGTGGGTGTCGGTGAAGAAATATCATATACTCACACCCATACGCACATCCATTTTTGCAATTTATCACATAGTTGACAAATAACGGACAGCTTCTACGTATACGACATTGTAACATAAAATCGTTTGAAAATAAAATTTATTATCATTTCTATCAATGTGTGCTTCACATGCATAAGCAAAAAAAAACCAATGATTGCATTATAGATGTCTACAGACAAATATCTGTTTGGTACAATTTAGCAGAGAGTTTCACATTAGGTTCAAAAATTTTTGCAGATACAATGTAAAAAAACCAGAGGCTAGCCCCCGCCCCTCCCCCTTCCTCATCGAGGACTATGATTATCCGATAATTACAGTAATACTTTGATGCAAATATCGATTTCATTTACGGTCTCTAATTAGAGACAGAAATATTTTATTCATGTAGATGCAATGTAACTTGTTACTGAAAAGAATCATCAGTGGTAGCTATTACAGGATAGATAATGTTCATCTATCGATTTAGGCGAAAACTGGGCCCAATTTTCAAGATTCTTGAGTTATTAAAAAATGACCAATGCCATTTTATTTTTCGACAGAGAGTAATTTTTATTTGATTGAAAACTTAAACGATCGCATTCAAAATCTGCTCAAAATTTTTTCGGCATTTTTCATACCAGAGACCCACTCAAAACTCAAATTCAGAAGGCCAAAAATTTTAGTTTGATATGGGTGGTGGCAGATGATTATTAAGCAGTGACGTCTAAATCAATAACTTCAGGAGTACATGATTGTTTTTTTTGTAGATCATTCGTTAATAATATATCCAATGCGTTTACTAATATTCAAAGATGGAAAAAAGTACAGGTGATTATTATAGAAAAAAAGCACCGTTCAAAAATAAAATAAAGTATCTAACAAGGGAACCTGTCGAGATGCTCTCCACGGATTTCAATAAAACTTTGTCTATAGATACCTTTTCTAGTGTTAATTAATATCTGTTGCATTCATGACAAATTTTTCTTTTTAGTTCTTTTTATTGTCGATTTTTGGAATTGTCGACTTGGCAAAGAATTTAGATACTGATGGAAAGAAGTAGCACACAAAGAATGCTATCCCCCATTCTGCCATTCAGAATTCATGAAAGAGGGTGGGTGTGGGTATCCACTTAGAATACACCCATACCTACACAGATTTTCAAATAATATAATCTTTTTTCATATTTATATTGAAAATGTCGTCTATTGTTCGTTCATACTAATGTTCTTTCGTATATGTTATCTCTGATAAAAAAAATATGGATAAGCGTCATGTAAATTTGATAATTGGATTAATGTTTCATTCTTTTGTTTAGTTTTTGATGAAAAAACTTTTCTTTTCTTCTCTCTATTATTATCATCATTATCATCTGATATAATCTACAATTGAAATAAACAATAAAAACAAAAGTAATTAAAATTAGTTTAAGAACTATATTTTTATATTACAAGAAATTGTATTTGTACTTCTTGTTGACTCCATTCATTCATAACAACAGAATGATAGCCAATATTTGTTATTACAACAATATATTCAAAAAGACAAAACATGGAATAAATATTTGGTTCGCAAAAATGAATATGTCGATAATAAAAATAGAGTGAAATAGAAATTGAAAAAATATTCAATATAAACCATCTTAATCTTTTTGAACGTAAAGATTTTTCTTGTTCATTTAAAGAAATATTTATTATCCTTGGCCAAAAATAATCAATTAATATTGTTAGTAACATATGTAATAATGAACATAGTATAAAACTAACAAATGAACATTCATGTATCCATCTGATTTCATTTGATGATATATATGTTAATAAAAGAAGAAATGTTAATTCAAGAAAATGAAAAGTACTATTTGTTATTTGTACTAATGTATAATATTCAGGATAATCAATATGATGACGATTAAGTACATGATTTAATTGTAAATAAGCAATAATATAACGAGGAATACTATCCAAAGCAAAACATAAACGCCATATAAAACGTTGAGGTTCATAGTCACCAATTGATGCTGATATTGATGGAAGAAAATTAGAAACATTACAATGTGTATGTGTTGATTTTTCAAAATCTTTCACTAATGATAAACTAACACAAGATAATAGAGCAAAACATGGTAAAATATAAGCAAACCATAGAAACTGACGCATAGAAACATGAATACCTACAAAATAAAACTTGAATGAAATAAAAAAAGAAATTCAAAATAAAAGCAGAAAATTTAATTACGTGACAACATAGTTTGACGAGTCGTATTTATCTGAATGGAATAAGATAAGTATCAAAATCTGAAACGATTTATGTCACATATATTTAACAATTCATGCGAAAACTTTAGAAAACTCGTAATCAAGCTTCCCATTTCTTCTACTTCCTCCTTCCCCCCCCCCCCCCCCCTGTTTCATAAAAATAAACTTTATTTTTGAGCAATATTTGTTATTTAGGCAATTCACACTTTACATCTTCAGGTTATTGGGAGTCATTCGAGTCTATCATCTAACGCACAAACATCATTCCATTTCCAATCAATCACTTGTTCTGCTGGTGTTTAACATGATTCATATTTTTTCAAGATTTGGCTTAGAAAACTTCAGTTTCAAAAATACATTAACCCTTTACTCTCCATACCGGTTCTAGAACAGCTACACATGAAACAACTGTTGAAATACAGTATTGACACTTCGATTTTGTTACTGGTGTGACCATTAGGAGGAAAGGAGGACTTGAAAAAGTCTTATTTTGGACCTTTACAGTAGATTTGATCTAGTTCGATCAAAACACGTCGTAGAGAACTCGAGAACATCTCATTTTATAGAGAATTGTTTGCTCTATCATTCCACGCAATTTAAACAAAGTTTTATTTGCCAATCTTAGGTGCTGGGAAACAATTGTTCCTGCCATGATACATAGCTCATTACTCAACATAAATCGAGAATTTCAATCCAAAAGAGTAAGAATTAATTGAGAAACCAGCTAATGTTTGTCATGCATTATTGAGTAAATGAAACAAAAATTAGATAGCTTCCTTCTCTTGTTATCAATGCTCTCTATGTTTCATTATACAATGTATGGACAACGGCAAAGATATTCTCATCTATATCCTTCATCCACTAGGCAGCTAACTATATCACCTAAGCTTGAAGATATATAAAGTGATAACAAAAATTCATTATCAAGGTTTGTTTTGGTTTTTCTTCAACCGTCATGAATGCTACAAGATTCGAATAGTCATTTGACCAAAAAGTCCTAGCTTTCCAGCATCTAGAATTGACGAAGAAAACTTTGTTTAAACTGCATAGAATGATAGAGTAAACAATTCTTTACAAAATGAGGCGTTCTCGAGTTCTCTACGACGTGTTTTGATCGAACTAGATAAAATTTATTGTGAAGGCCTAAAATACGACTTTTCAAGTCCTTCCATTCCAATGGTGACTTCGGTGACCATTTTGTTTCATACCTTATAGTCAACCTCACCGAGATGTGTATTCCTTATAAGTGAAAAACAAATTTTTAAACGAAATTTCATTTTTTTCGATTTTTGTCAAAATTATGGATTTTATAAATCGTTTATCATGGAGGAAGAAGGAAGAGAAAAGAAATATTTTTATCAACTCATAGCACACGAAGTTCACTACAAAAAAAACTCTTAGAGTTTTTGAATCTCATGCTTCCTTAATTTTCTTCAATAGTTCTATAAATGGTCACTCTAGTGACCAAGTGGCTAAAGGGTTAAATCAATGAAATATTTCAATACAAGAGGTGACTTGAACATATAATATGTTGTTTTTTTCTACTCTACTTAGTTCATTTAAAGATCGACTTAATTGATGAATACAATGAACTAGAAAATCGACAAGAAATAGCTCGATTACTAATCCAAGCAGTAATTAATAACAAGAGAAAAAAAGAATTCCATTTTCATGGTATTTCTTTTCTATTTAAAATTCACATGAGGATTGCTATGATTCCTAAATAATTTTGCAAAAAACTTGAAGTTCTTCATGATGGAACATACGGTTTAGCTGGTAAAGGATAGACTGATTATACAGTTCAAATAATGATTTGTTATGTGAATCCAATCGAACAATTATCACCAGATGACCGATTGGTACAATGTGCGGTATACAGACGGTAGTTCCGGTGTACCAGCAGTTGTTCTGGTCAACCGGTAGAGACCGTATTCGAAACCAATCCTCGAATGTCCACTTCTTTTTCTGCTCTCGGACGTGTAACCATTGGCCTAATATAGAGGATGATTCCATTCAAAAGACCAAACGTGATTGACGAAGGTCATGAGATCAAATAGAAGAGGTGTATCAATGATAATGAGCCAACAAGAGGTGAAAACGAGAGAAGAAGTGATCGATGAACATGAGCAAACCATGAACAAGATACCGTGGACAGGACAACAAGAAAGATAAGGACGGTAAAAATAGAGGAAGAATGTCAATAATCTAAAGCAAACAGAAACAATAGTATAGCTGAAAGTTGGTCCTCACTTCTGCATTCAGTCTTATAAGAAGTTATCTTGTTGAACTGTGTCTCTGAATGAACATATTTCTCTAATAAAAAAAAGATTAACTATTAAAATTTTCTCTCTCTATTCTCACTTTGCCTAGCCTACCGATCGGTTCGACAATCATATGATTCGTTTAAGATACTATCGCTTAGTGATTCTTCTCATTCTTTCATTCTTATTCTCTTTTCTTTTTTTTTTATTTACTTTCTTTCTCCTTTCGTATGGCCGATATTACTTTTCTTTGTTTTTTCTCCTGTACAAGCTTGTATTGTAAATGGAACAGAGACTCGGTAAGATGTAGCTTAGTAAACATCATCATCGAAGATATCCGTTGTGCATGATAGAACACAGTATGAACGAGAAGAGCTCAGATAAAAGCGAAATATGTCACCCATTTGATAATGATTGCAGTATTAACATGAATCGATAATGACTATCGAATATTTTATTCAAATGATATTCTGTAGTAAGATGTTCGAAGATTCAGCGCTATCCAATACTACATAATTTAATATGATCGAATGAGAGAAAAAATGTTTTTTTTTGATCAACTTCATGTGTCGCATTTTTCAACGCTTTCGTAGCTGAATATAGTTCACGCCCACCAAACGAAGGATGCTTCTACTATCGATGTGGAAATGTTTCTTTCTCGAAAAATAATGTGATATCTTCGATACTGATCCTTCTATGTTTGTCTAAGATATACAGAAGAGTAGCAATTTCCATCCATATAGCCTTCTCCATGTCTTTATTCTACAAGTATTGCAGATTATTTCTATGACTGTTTGCTTTGGAATATAAACGAGCAGCAGCAGTCACATCTTCCGTGGTTAAGAACTTGCCATCTTTAGCAAAAAAGATATAAATTTATTGTAACGCTCTTGATTAAATTTTCCTTGCTGATTGTTGAACAGAGCTGCATCAAGTCTACTAAGTAATCTGTCTGGTTCAATACTTTCAGATGTATGGTAAGAAACGATTTCTGCCCATGATTTTGTATGGTCAGTTAATAATACTTTTCGCAGATAGCCACATTAAGCCGATTTTCTCCTGTATAAATAGAGTGACTTTACACGAAATGAAATTAAAAAATGAATATACCTGCAAGACATGCTGCAAAACTTCGAGTGTGATGTTTCTGTCATCTCTTGGTAAATAGCCATGATTGGCAAGAACATTCAATTCAGGACACGATGAACATGAATCATTTGGTCCGAATGTTTCATATTTGTATTGCTGCTGATCAGCGAATGTTCGGATAGATTTCAAGTTACCTATAATTAGAAAGAATTGTATTGCTTTGAGATTAAATCAAAGAAGAAAGATGATTCGATATCAACATAAATATTTAAGCGTATATTGCTATTTGCACACTGCTTTATTCTACCTGAATATTCTCTCAATTTATACGCGAGAGAACATGACGACGAAGAAAAAAAAAAGAATGAAGGCCAGTCAAATTTATCTCTGCCTACCAAACAAAGTGGATTCGCATAGTAAAGACAAGCAAATTCTTTTTTTTTTTTGTTCTTGAAAGTAAGAATATTTTCTTACCTTTTCTTTCGTTCTGTCACGGAGGAGAGCGGATAAAACTATTTGTCATAGTTTATCTGATGGTACTTGTTTTCAAGAGTATATACTAAAATAAAGCCGATATGTCCTTTCACACTTGGATACTACGATGATTCTTAAATAAAGAAAATCCTTTGGATACAAAATTAAATTCGCAGCAATTTCAACATTCCTCATGCGATTAAGACAATGGTAAAATGATATGAAAAATGCATTCATTTTCATAGCATTAAAACTCAAAAATTCATAAATGCATTGTATCGTAGAAAAGGTTCATTCGATCTTTCCCATGTCGTGAAAATCGCCGCGATTTTGCCGATTTCGGTAGTTGATTATGAATTATGCATTAATTCGAGAAATATTTTAAGGTTTATTAAATTGAAAATCAAATTAAATTTCTACACAGTTTTTAAAATAATTATGAATATTTAAATGCAAAAGAAAAATTTTATTTCGATATGGATGTCACTACTGTAACATGAATAAGATTGAATAATTTTAAAAAACGATCGTACTTAGCCTCTCTTCCACATTCATTTGTTTCAGAATATTTCTTTTGATAACAGATATTTTGTTGTAGATATAAATTACGTTTAAGTATGTTTTTCAATTAGAATTTTTTTCACATAGATCTAGTTTTAGATATCTCAATTGATCTACAATATATATGTAAACTGGAAAAACTTGTCTCTCTTCTATATAATAACATCTTCTATTACCATCATAAGTAGTCTTATGTTTTCGTTTAGAATTTTTATTTCATCTCTCTTTTTTAGTTTTTTAATTTGTGAACGATAACCAATACACGTAGAATCTTTTCCAAGTAGAACTCAATTTAAAATATTAATTACTATATATGAATGTTTCATTATATTTTTCGTTTTTTATTACATAATTTGTTCATGTAAAATAGTGCAAATGTTTCATTTTTTTAATAAGAACATTCTTAAAATTACAACAATAATAAAAAGTTTTGGATATGATAAGAAAAAACTACATATATAGGCATGAAGTCGCATTGAATATCGGCGATTTATCGCAATTCAGCTCATGATTATCGTTTCGATAAATCGTGATTAATCGCCAATTTTTAACCGATTTTAAGGACATGGGTACTGTCGATTTGGATAACCTTCTTGCTTTATACATTCTTCCCACTGATTTGAAATTGAGTCAACTGATACTTCAGTTATATTGCTCCCAATTTGATTCCATCCATCAGTCAGGACTTTCAATTCTTGTTCAGTTTTTAGTGACGGCATTTTTTTTGCGAATATATCGATCAAGTTCAGTCCGTGTGTATTCTTTGACAATGGAATAATTTCGTCAGTATCACTATCATTATATGTAATATTTTGATGATCAATCTTTCTCGATACAGACAAATAGTGACTAAAATTAAAAACTATTCAATATTTTTTTGCCATTTGATATCATGAATAACTCATGAACATGGAAAAAACGAACTGCGCGATCACATGTTTTTTTTTGTTTCTCATTGCTTATTTGACAAGTTATTACCATTGTGTTTTTGATCAGTATTATATGCATTTTTATTGACATTTAGAATGATCATTTATATCATTATCTTATTGTGTCAATCTGTAATCAACGAAAAGAACAATAATGTGCGCCACATGAATAAACCATCTATCAATAAAAACAAGACGATTGTTTTGCATCAGAGATTGTAATTCAAGAACTTATCGAGATTTTTTTTGAATCCACTAAATTTCTTCAAGATTCCAATTTTTTTTTCCATATCATATGTTCTAAAAACATTATATATATGAAACTCTTAACTACAAAAAGTAATGTTTTTTGGACTAAAAATTTTTAATTTTTTTTCATGTTAAATTAATTAGATTTAGATTTTCTCTGAAAATCGACTATTATTGACTATTTACTTTAATTAGAGCGATAGCATCCTTTCTTTTTTTTCTGTCTCTGATTTATTTCAATTGAACTGCTGTTATTTGTCATAGATATTTTTTGTATGAAATAAAGTATATCTTGAGATTGAATCATAATTAAATATCTCAATACAAAATACAATATCCTGAAAACAAAATATATATTTGGAAATTTTCAGCCATTTACATTCATTTCCAACCTTTTAACCAATTACTATATAGAACAAAAAACAGCATCAGATAATTTTCTGATATTAACATAATCCTATAGTTATAATATAACATGTATCAATATTATTTTGTAATCAATGAGTAATCATTAATAAATGATATGGATTATCACACACATCAATTAGTTAAGATTCATGTTAATAACTTCATTTAATCATATACTGTAATACCAATATATAACCAAATTGATAAATACTCAAGATTATTTATTCTGTCATATAATAATAATAAATTTATTATAAGGCTGAAAATGGTCGTATAAGACCGAAAATTCCCAAATATATGTTTTTCGTCTTTTTTCTTTTAAAAACAATAAAAAAACATTTTGTTTTCAGCACTCATCTCTTCCACATTCTTCACAATATCTGATCACAATGTATTTGAGTAATAGTCTTAAAGAAGAAAATGTTTCGATATAAAGTCCTGACAAATTTTAGTCATGCTTTTCTTTTGCTTTTTTAGAATATTATCATTTGGTTAATATGAATACATATGTGCTGTATTTTTTATTTGGTTTGTTCTTATAATTATCTAATTAAATCTGATACACCTCCTCATTTAACTACATATAGAAATCGCAACAACCAATGATAATGTAGTCTTCTACACCCATACCCCGCGATTATACAATTATTAATGTCATTATTGATGTCAATAAGAGCAAAGTCATGACTGAAGAATCAATTAATACACTAAATGTGTCCAGTGAAGCAGAGAGAGTAGATAAATTAGGAGTCTCTTACGTTTCAATATGTATAGTGACGAAATCTTAACTCTAATTTCATAGTTTGTTTATTGAGTAATTCGATGTTATACAAATATGTAATTTTATAAAAACTTAACAATGACACGTGATTATGAATAATTTTTTTTTTTTATCATCGAAAATTATGTCTATATTATTATTTTAGATTTTTTTTTTCTACAAACTTATTTTAAATATTTTACAAGAAAGACAAATAAAAATGAAATTATCATTTTGTCAATTATTTCTATTTCTATTCATAATTATAAATGTCTTTCAATATCAAAATTGCTTTAAATTATACAAAAGTAAAGAAAAGATTTATGAACGATTATACAAGGCCACACAACGAATGGTATCATCATTTATACCTCCAACATGTTCTCAAATTTTAATAAATCAAAATAATATACAATCTCAATATATATCTTCAAAAGGTTTATCTGGTCGCATTTTACCAGCTGGAACATTTTCAGACCCAATCGCAGCTCTAGAATATATATATGGAGTTGTTTGTCCCATACCAAATTTACCACCACGGCCATCTACTATTCAAACAATTAAGTTAGTACGTATTACTTATGATAAAGATTATTTGATCACTGACAATGAAATAGAAGTTACTGTAACTGGTAATAAGCGATTAACTTTTTTTGTACGTATGGCTTTTGATAAAGATTATAAACTATGTGCCTATGATGGACAAATACGAAATTTTGGATTAACATTTGATCCATCCACAGATATAGAACGTCAAGCAACTATAAATTTTATATGTAATTTTACACAAACATTCTGTCAGGGAAAATTACAACAATACTCAAGTGTCAATGATTGTATAAAATTTTTAACGACTAGCGTACCTTATGGTTCATTGGATAGAGGAGACCAAGGAAATGTTGCTTGTCGCACTATTCATGCATATTTTGTTCCTCTATTACCAACTATGCATTGTGCACATGTTGGTCCAACTGGAGGAGGAGCATGTACCAATAAACCAATTGATTTTTATTATAATCAAACAAATTTTCTTGGTTGTGCTTATAAACAATACTAAGAAAATAAAAACATGTTCTATTTGTAACTTAATATTTAAATAATAAATTGATATTATTTATAAATAATTGTGCGAAAAATAAGACATAGAACCATAAGAGAGATATACGTCTCGAAATCGATATTGATTTTCTGCTATAATAAAAAAATGAACTAAAAGTTTCATTATTTTACTACAATATTGCATTAACTGGACTACCAAGCTAAATATTATTTAACCTATGTGTAATTGGATGACTTTTCTAGCATAACAGACAAAAAAACCTGGTTAGATTCATACTAAAGATCTCAGCTAAACGTTTGACAAATGATTCCTTAATCAAAAGAGATTAATTTGATCTATCTCTTAGAATTCAACTTAATAATTATTGTTTCGTGTTTCTTTATTAATTTAATACTCGAAGGCCTGCTAATATATCTTTTGAAAATTTATAGAAATAACAGAATCTTGATGTGTGAGAGTGAAGATGATATCCATATCTATATTTAATATATTTATTTTTCCATTGATTAGGATTTTAACAAAGTGCCTATTGAGAAACAACTATATGGAAAGCACAGGTCGTAGGAACAAATGTCATACGTCGATTCCAAAGAGACTGAGAAAAAAAATGTCATTATTCAAGTTTCGATACGAGTCATTTTTTCATTATTATATAATCATAGAACCGACAATAATATAATTCATGGTGATATCATAATACAAAATAATTGGAATTTTCAATCGACTTAAAGAAAGACAAATCAAAAAGTTTACACTAATATCACTATTATTTGTTTAAATTTTTTTTCTCTTTCATTATTCTATTGCGTTGTATATATAAATTACGAAGATTCAGGATAAGAATGAAATTATGAAATAAACTAAGTTAACAATAAGTAAATAATTTTTAGTGATAGTTTATGAGAACTTTTTGGGATAAAACTGTTTCTAAAAATGAATGAACAAGCTTATTTTGAACGAGATAAGAGCAACGAAATGAACAAAAAAACAAATTTTTTAAGCTATTTTTGTTGTTTAAATCTAAATAAAAGTGAGGCTTTTCAGTAGGTGTAAAGAAGTTGCCATGACTAGTGTCAACTTTGCTTAAGAATTTCATCAGATAGCTTATCTATTCGTGATTCAAAAAAAAGGAATCCAAACAGCATATATCTTCAGCGTTACAAAACGAATTTTGTAATAGAAGATTTATTTTTTGGCGGTAGTGAGAAGGAGCCAGTGGTTTGGATGGATGTTATCTAAGGGCCGATGCTGATGTTGGTAGTTGAGAGACGAAGATCGTCACCAGCATGTGTACTGACGCGGACATCCATATACATTCTGAAGATTTTCAAAAATTTCAGAAACAGATTTTACTTCTCCGTTATACCTTTTTTGAGATTCAGAAGATTCAAAAACCCTTTAGATTTCTGATGAAAGACTGGAAATCAAAAAGCTATCCCTGCATGCATCCTCAGATACCAACTCAATTTTTCTACCAATAAATACTTTCAGAATTTCGAAACCTGTATTTTGGAAAATCTTTGACGATATGCTAAGAGATTTACGAATGAGTTTGAGTTATCCAGGAAACAAAGTCTTTTTACAAAGTAAGATGGACATATGTTACACACAGTATGTATGCTTCATTTTTTTTTGTTATATTATAGAAATTTTTGTATAATAGCATACAGCATTCTTATTTGAATTTTTACTTCATGAGATAGTGAGGTAGAAGAAAAATTTACTATTCAAATCGAGTCAGAACTTTTATCCTATCTATTATGCAACGGAAAAACGATGATTCTGGGGTCGTATTCAGAAAGGCTTTTCAATTCTCTACGAAATGAGGTAAAAAGTGACAAGTTTCATCATTTTAAGACAAGACAATGAAGATTCTGCTAAAAGTTTCATTCAGGGAAAATCGAAAATGCACTTTTAAACAGCCTAATAGTTTTTGAAACGCAGATATCTGTCACAAAAACTACCTTTTTATTCTTTTAGAAGTGATGAATTTGCTTTAATTTTTAACGATCTACAAGATGGCTTACTTGGTTATCTTATTCGATTTTTTTTCCTTAAAACGCTATTCTCAACAAAAAAAGAAAAATGCAAGTTGTAAAAATATTTTTAGACGGCTTCAGTTTTGCGATTTTTTTTCTCTCGGATTCTTAGCTTGTCAAAAATTTGGTCAACATAAATCTTGAAGTAGAGACTTCACTCTTTCTAATAAACATAAATTCAAATCTCTTGCTTATTGGAAACGCATGGAAAACTCGCTGAACATTTTCCGAATTTCTTTTGCATTGTATATTAGTCTTCTACAAACTAATATTTTCAAATTCTGTCCTACTTTACGTAAGTAAAGGTCTTAATTAGATTAATTGGCTTGTATAAAAAAAATTTAGAATTTTCGAAACTTACACCTTTGAAATACAAATTTTTCAAAATATTGATGTTTTGCACAATATCTATGCCAAGAAGCGCCTACATTTTGAAACTTTCCATTTAAATAAGAATACAGATTATTTTCTATGACATAAAAAGTGTGCAATTGATGGCGTCTTATAAAATAAATTACGCATATTTAGCTTAAGCCATGGCTTAACTTACATATCATATTAGAATTCCACTTATAACATGATATCTGAGATTATGATAACAGAAAGAGTATTTATACTTCAAAGTTGTTTCTGTTCTTCTCATTTTTTTTGCAAAGAAAAAATAGAAAGGTTTTTTTTTGATACTGTTGTGTGTGGAATAGGGTAAAGTTCACAAAAATGAGACAAACTATGTTCGTGATATTGTTGATTTTATTCATTAATCAATGTGTAAGTCAAACAGGTTTTCCAAAATAATTTCAAGCAACATTGAATATAAGTGGATTATATTCATGGCAAACACCAACACAAGGTGTTCAACAACTATTGTATGATTATAAAAATTCAAGAGTTCGCTTTGACATTCAAGGATGGCGATTGAAACAAAACGAAACTTATATGGTTAAATACAAACCCGAAGGTGCTGAAGTAGATTCAGTAAGTAGACAGTCTTTCGTTATAGAAAAAAAAAGATTAATTATGAAGCTTTTTTTAGCCAGCTTCGCAGGGTTTTACAATGTTCAATTTCAATCCTGATTACCCAGCATTAACAAAAGTAAAAAGACCGCTTTTTCTTGTTTTTCTTTTTTAAATAAGGTTTTTTTTTCGAAGAACGATTGTTGGTATAGAAAAAATCCAATGGCCGATATAGGCCCATTCCCTTCCACATGGTTAAATTGGTCTCAAAGTGATTTTGAAATTCAACCGTGGTTTCCATTATCATCGGATCTCATCAATAAAGGTGAAGAATGGATACCAGAAATTCAACAAAATGCAATGGTATGTCTCCCTATTGCAAGCATAGTTCAACAAGTCTGAAAGACATGAAATCTATCCTAACTTTAAGTGAGAGGAATAGATCGAATCCCAATTTTTTTTCTTTCTTCTTTCTAGACACTTTCTTCTTTAGAATCAATCACTCTTTCTTAAATATTTCTGAATGTCGAGATGTTGGAAAAAATTTGAAATGCATCCTCATCTCTAGAGTGAGGCCACGCGCATATTCATTTTTTGGAATATGCAACAATCCTGCTTTTGAAAAATCATTGTATGTTTTTAATTCTGATACAACCGTTCAAAAAGGTGGCAAACAGCCACGTGCATAATTATCAATAGATGAAGATGATGATCTGACGAATGGCAACGATGATGAAGAATGAATGGATGTAATAGAAAAAAAATGAATGGTTTTTAAGCCATTTCATGTAAACTCTCTCCTGTAATAGAAGTTTCTTCCATATTAGAAGTTCCCTCTCGAAGAGTCGATGCGCAAGACGTATTAGAAGTTCCCTGATTTCAAAAACTTTTTTGGAAATTTTTTAAAAGTTTTCTCCATATTTTCACGCTAAACCTATCAAAATGACAAGGTTTGAAGGTAAAAATTTGTCTAACTCTTATTTACCAGCATGAAAGTTCTGCGAACATCCTTTAACAACTCTGAAAATGTGGAAAGTCTAGCTTTTATCAAAGCACTTTTTCTGAGATCATCTCTAAAAATCTCATTGAATCAGAATGAAGCTATATCCTTGAAAGCCAAAACGGATGGATTTAGTATTAGGTCTGTAATCAAGGGAACAGAGTTCTGACAAAACTTTTTTTGTTTATAAGGATGTGATATTTCGAGAAACTCTCTGAAAAAGCGCTAAAACATTTTACTTGAACATTTTCAAGAGTTGGAAGACATTTTATTTTGAAGAAAACAGATCACTGAGGTTAGCGATGATTTATTTATTCATCTCTTTTAAAGAAAAATGAAAACAACTATTAATTTTTCTCATTCTTTGCCAATTGTACTAAGTGCTGTAAATTAAATGTTCTTAATAATTTCCTTCCTCCTTCTAAGTTATTTTTCGTGTCTTGCTCTGTTGTTTCACTCAGCTGGTATTCAAGTTTCGCATTGAGTAATTGGCTCTCTAGTTACTTTTCTAATATAGTTTATGTTCTATTCCTTTCTGAACGTAAAAAAAAGTAAATCTAAGCTCATCAATGAATCTCAATCTTCTTGCAGCAAAATGAATGCTAGACCGTTGATTTCTCATGTTTAAAGTTTGAATTCATCTATCCCTGGTTGCAAGTAAATAATACGCAATAAAACGACTTTTGTCGTTGTAGAAATACGATTCACCAGAAATATGTGACTTAAAACAATCTCATCTTGGCAAAGTTCCATGTTTAAGTTACTTTGAAACACAAGATAAACCTGTTAAAACCATTCGAGCACGTGCTGCTCATGGTGATTATGATAGTGATGAGTAAGTTTATATCGCACATCTTTAAGTGGGAACAGGAACGATCGCATGCTTGTGTATAGATACATAAGTACAGTTTATCTATCATTTACCAATGGCATTCCATCTGAGGCTGAACATTTGTTCAATTTACCTGATAAATGGCCTTCATATTGTGGCAATGCAAACACGGGTAAACTATAGTGTTCAGCTCCTTATCAGCATCACTTGTGTTGTTACATTCTGTCTATTTTTCTAGGTTTTGACATACAACCCTTGCATGGATTTGTAGTAACTCCAGATGGTCAAGATCATTTTACATTAAAATTACAAACACCACCAGTTCATTCACTTGGTGACCAAGTCAAAGTTGAGTTTAAAGTGCAACCAAATTGGTATTACAATGGCACACGATGTGCTCAATTTAATACAATTGTTTTTGATCGAGAAAATTGGCAAATACCACAACAAGTTGATATGTCGTTTCTTGATTATGGTTGTTGCATGTACGAAATTACTGCAAACGCTGGTGGGTACGATTGGCAATATATAGTATCAACATTTGTTGTTTATGCTTGTGATGGACAAGCCGGATATGGCTGCAAAGGCAAAGAACCGTGTGGGGCTTGAAAACGATTCAAAAAGATGAAGAATCGTATTCAAGGCTTACGCATATGTGCAACAAAAATCTTTTCTATTATGTTTAAACTAAATAAAAATCCTTGCTGATAATGATCTTTACCTAGTGAGAAATCCGTTTTTTACGGCAAAGTCATTAACCAGAGTTTTGAATTAGGATGTGGGTGTGGGCTTAGATGTAGGTGAAGATACGAGCCGCACTCATATCCACACCCTAATAGATCATCAATTGAACAGTTCGACTATTGGACGAAATAACTTCTTCGATCGTTTAAAAAGTCTGTATCCATATTCCTCAAAATAAATATGAACTGTGTATGTATGATTTCGTTGAAATCTTTACCATTGTTCAACGAGACCATTCATAATCTCATCATAGATGAATCGATCTTGATAGAAATCATATTTTACTAATTGCATAAATTTTGAAGTGATTGTACTGAATGTTTGACTTGTTCAGATTTCTAAAATACATGTTTTTAATCGACTTTCATGCTATAGTAGGCAGAACATGGATTACACTAATCAAATTCTTGCGAATATGTCGACGAAGAAGTGCTCTTTTTACGAATTCATTTATTGCCACAGGTCAAGATTATCTTCACTTTGATTCGAAGATCTATTTTGATAAAATAATGTAATAGAAATCAGATGTGAATAAACTTTAGTTGTTTTCGACACTAATAATAGAATAAAAATAATGAGAAGTTTCTAGTCTCTTCGATACATAGTATGTTGATGAAGTCAACCAATAAAGAAGTCATCTGAATAACCTTTGCACATAAACACTTTAAACTGAATTTCATTCTATTTTTGAAAAATTCTTTAACAGTTGGATGAGATGCAATATCAATCGATGTCTCTCAAAATATAGTGAAACAATTCAGATGTGCATTAGCGTCACACGGAATATGAGCAGTCGTGATGTTATACTGTCATCCACTCTATTCGCAGATTGTCTTTTATCGGATCTCGCACGTCATTCATCATCTATTCATGTACGTCTGATTTTCTTTTTTTATTCAATTATTTTTCACTCTATCGATAACGTCATTCAAAACTTCAATTCATCAATGATTCATCCGTAACAGGCAGCCATGTGAGTGTTAAATCAACAGAGTCCAAACATCAATTGCTCGTACTTCACTCCACCTACATGTTTTCTCTTATCTAAGATAAACAAATGCTTGGTTTCTTTTACATAGTCAGAAATTATTTTTTTTGCATTCGAGAAAAAACTTCTCATTATGACTTGACTGTAAGAATTTCTTCAAAGTCGATATCGAGCATATATATTTCTCTAATGTTCTCATCCTTTTTTGGATCCTTTCGTTAGACTTGCATCGAACGAAGATTGCAGGTCTCCAAAATAGAATGCTGTGAGACTAGTATTCGTTGTCTTTTTAACACTTGTTCTGTATTCTTCTTTGGTAAGTTGTCGATTTCTTCATTGACTCACTAAAAACTCAGAGTGATGAATCATCGGCTCTTTAAAAAAAAAAAGCTACGACAACTGTTTATATTGCGACTCATAAAATTGAAAATTATTCATCATTCTGTTGCTTGCTCATGCAATAACACAAATATAGAATGACCTTCAGAAGAATCAAAAAAAGAAACGACATCGAGACTGGTAGCTGTTTCTGATCATAAACATATGCTCATGATATTCCGTCTAATCTGATGAAAAACTATCGATCAAATTGAATAGTGGTCTTTCTATTCTTCTTGTACTTGAATTGATTGAATATTACGAAACGAATCGATTTCTAATTCTAGACTTAGAATGAAATTGAAAAATTAAACTTCAATATGGCGAATGCATACAATAACAATGAAGAGACCGATGATAGTTCATCAGACAATATGCACAATGTGTCATGTAATGGATGTAATTCAACAAAGATCTACAGTGATCGATATAGATGTTTGCAATGTATTGAATATGATCTATGTGGTAATTGTTTTGAGGAACGACGTCAAACGAAAGAACATCTCAGTGGTCATGCAATGGTACATCTTAAAGTTCCCAATGAATTGTTTGGTCAACCGATCCGTCATTCTAAGGAGATAACTCTGACAAAAATTAACGAACTCCTAGCTGGTAAACATCACGATCTCACATGTAATGGTTGTCGAATATCGATTGTGGGCGTCCGATTCAAATGTGATACTTGTCACAACTATAATCTATGTTCTCAATGTATGAAACAGCGAGTGATCAGCAAACACCATCAGAACATCCATCCATTAGTAGCAACAAGCAATCAAAGTCTGACGAAAATCGATATCAGCGATATTCGCAAGGGAAATGTACTGGGTCAAGGAGCATTCGGTATGTTGATCTGTGTTTTCTATCGAATACTATTCTCATGTATGTAGGTCAAGTTTGTAAAGCAAAATGGTTATCAAAAAATCGTCAAGTAGCTTGTAAAGTGATTCGAGTGACACCACAACGATGTCACTTAGAAGAGAGTTTTCGCAAAGAATTAGCTGCCTATGCCGAACTATCCGGTGCATTTATCCTTAAAACATTTGGTTATGGCGATCGAATGCTAGACAATGGGGTAAAAGAATGTTACTTGATTACTGAATTTATGCATCGTGGTAGTTTGACCGATGTAATTCATAATCGAGATGAGAAAATCTCACTTCGACGTAAACTTTCCATGGCCTGTCATATTGCCAGTGGCATGCGTAAATTACATGCACACACGATGATTCATCGAGATATTCGTCCCGATAATATTCTTGTATCAAATAATTTTACAGCAAAGATCGGTGATATGGGCATTGCACGTATATTTAATCCAGAAGAACGCCATACACTGATCGGTTGTTTACCTTTTATGCCACCGGAATTTCATCGGTCAGTAAGAGATAAAAGAGAACTTGATTTGTTTAGACAAACATTTCGATTGTTGTTGCTCTCTTTATTCTAGTGGCGATGGTCAATATGATCAATCATTAGATGTGTTCACCTATGGATTGACATTGAATGAACTATTTACAGAGAAAATTCATCGATTTAATCAATCGACCAAACATGTTCAATTGATCGAACAAAGTTCGATTTTCATCGATTTGATTCTTCAATGTATTCGAGATGAATCGACTCGCCGACCAACTGCTGTCGAATTGGAAGATATTCTTCATAAAAATCGACAAGCAGCGGATCGATATATCAAAGAAAAATGTCTCAATTATACAAATCAAGCAATAACAACAAAAGATAGTATTTTTATTCGTTTTTATAATGAATGCAATCAGCAGAAGAAAGCCGAACTGAAAGCGATTTTTTCACCACCATCGAGATCACATGTAAATTTGGATCTAATTCGACAACATTTCGAAGATATGATGAAACAATTCAGTAGTGTTCATGGAAAAGATGCCGATCGTAACAAAGATCGGCCCGAGGTGGTGAAATTCAAGAAATTTCTACATAATCCAAGTTCCCTCCCTGTCGTTGAGCCCATTAAAAAAGATCGACGACCATCAACATCATCATCAAAGTTTCATCGAGTTGAAGAGCATCATCAACAATTTCTTCGTGTCGTCAAACACCAACGATCACGGACACCCATTCCAATATGTCCTCATTTCAATGATCCATTACATGATCGAGATTTTTTCCATAGACCAGATCGATTTCGAGCATTCAGAGACAATGACGATATCGAACAACGTATGCGACGATTGCGTCTCGAAGCAGGCATCGATCAGCCATCGCCTCATTTTTGTCAGATCATGCGAAAATTCAAATAGACTTCGATGACAGCTCAATGACAATCAATAGATTTTTTCCACTTATTTCAGGATAGTCTCTTCTTATTGATTATCATCAGTTTATTCGCAATAAAGAACAGACTCGAACCCTGCAAACAAAATGCAATTCATTCATGAATCACTAAGGTACAAGCCCATTGCGATGTGTTACTGCTTTCGAGCAGAAAAGTGTTGCTGTGAGTGTGAGTGCGAGAGAAACGTAGACACACCCACACCCTCAAGATTATTTTGAAGTTCATTATTATCATCCAAGATACGTCCATAAATAATAGTATAGAAAGGTCTATTCTGAAATACATTCCGAAAAAAATCATTTAGTCTACTCCTTTTTAAAAGAAAAATTTATACTGTGACCATTCTGGGGTTACTGATAATTTTCAATCGATCTAACATTAGTAACTTCAATTAAAAATTAATAATGAAATACTGACAGGCCAAACTGAGCTACTAGTAGATTTAAGTGTTGGCTTTCCATCGGTACCGATCATCAAGGTAAGTGGATTTTTTTTAACACCACTGGTATAAAATTCATCCATAAAGAAATTTAGCAATTTTACAAATAATCAATGACATAAATCTAGTTTACCATTTGTAACATCATATATAAACTCTTGTCGATGAGTTCGAAAGAAATCTATCAAGACTATATTTTTCTTCACCATACGGTGGATTTCATCAGGAATTGAGAATAAGACAACCTCAGTATTTATTGTGGGATTCGACTTATGACTGCTACACTGCTCCACAAACTTTGAAAATTACCGTTTGTATTTTGTGAAATATACGATTGTTTTGTACATAAACTTTACTCCAGTTTGTTCCCAAAGTTCATTTGCAGATTTTGGTAAACCATTATTTGAGTGGATATTATTTAATAAACGTAACAAACGATTTGTATTCACTTTATCAAGGTTGACTGAACGTACAAAATCAATGATTTGTAAAAGTATATCAACTTCAGCATTATCATTATCACTGCTACGACTACCGGCAGATGGTGATGATCTAATAGAATAAAAATCATTAACTGGTTCTATGTTCGATGCGGAACCAAAGTCCAAAGCATCATCATCTTTTAAGATTACAGTATATGGAAAAAACTCATCGATACAACAAACAAACTATAAGATAAAATATACCATCATCAAATGTAGAAAGGTCAGAATGCTATAGAGGACCAAACTGCGTACCATTATCATTTTCGTTGCAACCTATTTCTGTCATGTGTTCCTCACAATCTTCATCGGTCATTACTTGAAAGAATAGAACAAAAAATGTAGAAAAAGATATATTCAAATGTGTTTTTACCTTGATCAATATACGTTGTGGTAGGATGGGTTATTGTGCTTTGCTTTACAAGTCATTCGCATCGAGTACGACGAGAATTACGATATTTTATATTTCGCTATCGCCCCTGTTTTTTTTCTCTATGAGAAAGAAATAGATATGATTTACAGTTTACGAAAACTATACGATAATGATCAATTGCATGGATAAGATTGAAATTCGATTGAACTGCACGGCTGGATATTTCACGTTTCATGACAAGCAGATTAATAATGAAATCAAGACAAATATCACTTTCTTAAATGCGAAAGATTTAGAAAAAGAAGAATACATTGAAAACTTATTTGTCGATGATCTTTCGCCAAGCTAAGATAAGAATGTCCAAGAAAGTCGTATATAAGAATCACTACGAAGAAACAAATATTTTAAGAATTATAAGACGTATTGAATTATCGATAACTGTTTAACTTATTCATATATACATTGTATACACAAAGACACATGTTCTCTGACAACGTTGTCACTGTTTCCTCCATTACTATTAAACATATGACTTTGTTCATGAAGTATCGAAAGCGTAACGCGTACTAAGCGTGACAAAAACGTGCGCATTGGTGCGTACACATCATTGGTGACATCTCGCGTACCAATGTGTACACATATGACGTACGCGCACAAATAGAGTACGATGTAACTTGGGTATATATTCTCAGTGATCTCACGTCATATTTAGTATTATTTTGTTAGAAAAAATGCGATATAATTTTTAAAACTATTTTTACTTAATTTGATTCACTTATTTATGTATTTTGTGGAACTCACATATATTTTCGAAGAAAAAATAGTGAGTGTAAGTTTTAAGTTCGAGGTTTGACGGCTCCCCACCCTCCCCTTACAGACACTTAGCAACGGAGAAAGAGAACATTACAGACATACCCCCCTCCCCATTACAGACACTTAGCAACGGAGAAAAAGAACATTACAGACATACCCCCCCCCCCCTCATTACAGACACCCCACCATTACAGACCTCAGCAACTGCACACAAAAAACTTAAGCTTTACTTAACAATAGAAAAAGGCTTGAACGGTTTGAAGAATATGAATTTGACTGCTATGCACTATTATAATGTTTTCATAATTATTTGAAAAAACTAGCATGCACTTAACAAAATTCTTAATAGTATAATCGTTGGCTTTTTTAAGAATTTAAACTTGTATGCTAAAAATCAACGGTGAATAGTGATAATAGGTATTAATCTGTCGTACCGATGATATAATCAATACAGGAAACATGATTCGATCTTTTTATTAGTGTCAGAAGGAAACAATATCATTATTGATAAATTAATTGAGATGTATAAAAGTATTGTAAGAATGGCTAATGCATATTAAGTGCATTATTGTGAGACTCGTATTTATGAAGTAATTGATGATGAAAAAATTTTAAATAAAAAAAAAACAAAAAAAAAAATGATTATTATCACGTATATATCAACACTAATAAAAAAAATCGGGCGCGCTCAAACGAAAAAGATAGTCGCAGTTTTAAATGTACAAATAAATAATAAAATATTGTTTATGTCAGTGATGAGTTATAAGAATCATTTTAATCAACAGAAATCTTTCAGTTTACAGATGACATACTAGGATAACAAGTCTAAAGGATATACGTGAGTTCCACATTTCAGCTCCTTTGGAGCTGCGCTAACAAGCTTTTTTAATTATTTTTAAAAATTTACACCGCATGCTAGGGACATCCATAATTATAAAATTGCTATCGGCTCGCAGGCGTTTCGCAACTGCTCTCATTACGTCCGCACGAAAGTTGAGACCTTGTTTTTTTTCTTTTGGTCATCGATTTTTCACTTTCACGATTACTCTAGTTTCAGCTATCTACTTGTTTATTAGGCAAAATTACAATTGAAATACTGAGTAAAATGTTAGAAAAATTACAAAAAAAACGAAAATTAATGTCGGTCGCATAAGCATAAATGAGAGTTTCTTGCACCTCTTTTGTTCACTTCGAAGTAAATGTTGCGGCTCGGTCAGCTTATCGAAGATCACATGACAAAGGAACATTCCTTACCAGACTTCCATTCATCTCTTTTGCTCACTTCGAAGCAAACCTTGCGACTCGGTCAGCTGATCGAAGATTGCAAGGCAAAGAAACATTCATCAAGAGACTTCTGTTGACCTCTTTTGCTCACTTCGAAGCAAATCTTGCGACTCGACCAGCTGATCGAAGATCGCATGCCAAAGGAACATTTCTTACCAGACTTCTGTTCATCTTTTTTGCTCAATTCAAAGCAAACCTGGCGACTCGATCAGCTGATCGGAGATCGCATGCCAAAGAAGCATTCCTTACCAGACTTCTGTTCATCTCTTTTGCTCACTTCGAAGCAAACCTTACGACTCTGTCAGCTGATCGATAATTGCAAAGCAAAGAAACATTCATCAAGAGACTTCTGTTCACTTCTTTTGCTCACTTCAAAGCAAATCTTGCAACTCGGTCAGGTGATCGAAGATCGCATAGCAAAGAAACATTCATCAAGAGACTTCTGTTCACCTCTTTTGCTCACTTCGAAGCAAACGTTGTGATTCGGTCAGCTGATCGAAGATCACATGGTATTGGTTTTTTAATGACAGGTTACAAGTTTCCGGTCGATTATTTTTCGAAATGTTGAAGCAATACTCGTTACTACATTATTAATGTTGAGACTGCAAGGTACTCGGTTATGTTGAACCAACCATGTGTTCATCAATTCCGCGAATCTTTTTACAAAACTTTAGGATTTGAGGCATGATTCCATATCATGTAGAACATGGAGAACTATGATCATGGACATGTTCACCTATTTCATTCGAGAAGCAAAGATTTGAAACTATCAACTGAATGTATCATCGCATGTTCAATGAATCATTTAAATAAATATCTTCACTTATTTTACTCATTTTAAATCAAATTATGTGTATTGATCGAAACTAGTCATTGATCATATGACAAAAGAATAATGATCACGCTTGGTGAAATGGCTCGGTTTACTTATTTTAATTTTCTTGTAATCATAGACGGAAGTTCAATTCATCGATTGAATATTGCGTGAAGATCGAATAAAAAAAACGCATGTTACGTTCTGTTATAATAATTCCTCGGAAAGATAATTTTCAAATTTCTCAAATAAAAAGATATCAGATATAAATGAAAAATCGTATCATAATCATTTTATTCATCTATATTTTCACCACAGTTTCAAAAGTGAAGTAAAGCTTACTTTTTATGAGTACCTAGCACATGAATGATTCTCAATATGGTTGTGTTCATTTAATTTGATCGCATGGACGAATAGTATTCAAGTTGATCACCTAATCGTGATTTATACAACATTGAAACTAGACAAACGAAGATTTCATTCATATATTTATTTTATCTTCGAATGCAAGACGACGAAAGTTTTTGTTCCTCGAAGATCACACATCAAATAAATTATTCTCATCAATGTGTTGTTCATCAACTTTTCTCCTGTCGAAAGAGAGGATTAACAGCTAGTATTTTGGATAGAATATGCATATATCATGAATGATCATAACGCGTGTTTTATTTGTTTACATCAGGAATTTCGTGCTGAAGCATGTGATTCATGTAGCTGATTACACATCTTATGGTAAATGAATCATCATTTCCCAACCATTTTATTCATTTATTTTAGGTCATATCCAATAAATATTAAGAGTATATGAATTAATCAATAATCTCAAGATTAATTAATGACGTCTACGCAAGATTTATGCACTTATTTACTGGACTACACTCTAAAAAAAAAAGGTTTTTTACCGAACCTAAAAAGGATCTTATCCTCGGTACACGGTAAGATTCTTTTTTGGTTTCGTAAAAAACGAGGTTTCGTAACAAACCATCTTTGGAAACCTGGAATAAAAGTTTCGTAACAGAGGTTTCGCACAAAACCATTTATGAATAACTAAAATAAAGGTTTCGTACTAAACCTTTTTACCAAACTAAAAATAAGGTTCTGCGGACAAGGTTCCGTATCGAACCTATACAAGAAACAGAAAAAAAGGTTCCGTACAGATAGTTTTCTGCTAAACCTTTACTACAAATTAAAACAAAAGGTTTCGTACATAATGATTCGCAGTAAACCTGTTTTTAATCGCCCAGCCAGTCATTCATTTAGTTTAAACTTGAACCAACTGATGACTATGGCATTTGAATCAATCTATAATGTACTCTAGATTGATTCAAATCTCATAGTCCTCAGTAGGTTCGATTTTAAACTAAATGAATGACTGGCTGGACGATTACAAACAGGTTTAATGGGAATCAATCTATAATAGAAAAATAAATAGATTTATTTTATTTTATTTTATAAAATCAAACTTACTCTTGATTTTGATGTTTGAAACAATCTATAATAGAAAGATTAATATAAGTTATTTACTATATATTAAACTTACCTGTTCCATGTGTGAGTCAACCTATAATAGAAAAATAAATAGATTTATTTTATTATATAAAATCAAAGTTACTCTTGTTTTTGAGATTTTAATCAACCTATAATAGAAAACTTAATATAAGTTATTTAATATATAATAAACTTACCTATCCCATATGTGAGTCAACCTATAACAGAAAAACAAATAGATTTATTTTATTTTATAAAATCAAACTTACTTTTTTTTTGAGGCTTCAATCAACCTATAATAGAAAACTTAATATAAGCTATTTACTATATATTAAACTTATCTATCCCATGTGTGAGTCAACCTCAAGGGGAAAAGTGCAGGCACCCAGCACTTCAGCACCTCAGCACCTGTTTGGCACCTTCCGCACCTAGTCAGCACCTTCAGCACCTGTTCGACACCTTTCGCGCATTCCACTATGAACACTTTCAACC